CCCCTAAACCCTAAGACCGCTCCAAGGCCATGAAGAGCTGTCCCACCTGGACTGTGCTCCTCGGTCTTCTCTTGAGCTGCTTGAGGTGTAAGGTTTCGTAGTGGATGAGGCTCCTTTAAGGGTTCCTTAGGTTTTTAGGGTTTAGGGCTCCTTCAAGGGTTTCTTTAGGGCTCTATTTTAGGGTTTAGGGTTTACGGGGTGTAGGTAACCTTTAACCCTTTTCGGGGGTACTAGAATCCCATATAGTCCCTTATGGTGTAGGTAACCTTTAACCCTTTTGGGGGCACTAGAATCCCATATAGTCCCTTTTCGTCAGGGTATTGGACAATTAGGTTAAGGGTAGATACGCAACTTGTTTTACAAGAGACATCTTGTGACGGTGTTATCTCCGTTTCGGTTTCTTCATGCAGGCAGTAGGTCACGTCCCATGCCGCCTGCCGAACCATATGCCGGCAGTCGAAACTGAGGGTTTGTTTTTAGACGGGTGCACTATGATTTCAAAGGCTGCCGCCCCCACTGACAGTTAAATAAGGGTTCCTTTTTTCCCACAGTCAGAATGAGCACCAGGATTTTAAGGCCCAGTGGATTAAATCTATAGCATGCACCAGAACAAGCACAACCATGAGCACAAAATGCAGCACTAGAGAAGGCACAATCATGAGAATTAAATTTAGCGCCCGAAAATTTGTTGCTTTGCTGGTGCTTTTGTTGTGCTTTTGTTTGTGGTGACTGTTACTAGGGCCGGCGGCATTTAACACTGTGATTGTGGACACGGGTGTTACTATTCTTGCAGAATAAACCCTGTGGTGGTCTGTGTTTCTCCAGCTTTGTGGCGTTCTATGGTTCGTTTGTTGGTACTAACTTGTGGTGTTGTTCTTGTCATGGTTGGAGTTATCGTTGTCGTTAACATAATAATCACAATGGTTTTATCGTTGTCATTAAGAGTACGGTGATGGTGGTGATGATGGCCATGATGGTCATTATCAGGTCTCACCGTTCACGTATTATTCTTATTCTTGCTGCTACTCGTAACTATATCAGCGGTATCTTTGCACCATCGTGATTATCATCATCATTATGAAAGACTTGGGCTGAATAGTCTTTTTGAAAAAGACTCTTTTTCTGAATTAACAAGTTAGTTGGTTAGTTAGTTAGTTAGTTAGTTAGTTAGTTAGTTAGTGAACTTGTTTGTCTAGTTGTTTATCTCTTTTTATTCAGAAGTAGTAATTATTTACTATGCTTGTATCACCAACAAATTGCCAAGTCTAAATTTTCGGTTAATAATCATGTTTTAGTATTCCTATGATGCGACTGCTACGACTACTGCTGCTGCTGCTACTACTACTACTGCCACTGCTGCTACTACTACTACTACTACTACTACTACTACGACTAGTAGTCATCTTCTCATTGTTATCAACAACCTTCTTCATAATCACATTCATGGTTTGAATTCATCTTTGCTCTTATTATTGCTGTTATTACCATTGCTCCTGTAATAGTCGTATTACTAATATCATTGTGCCTTTCATCTGTGTTGCCAGGGCCTAGTGTTGGTACATCAAGGACAGTGGAAACCGTAAATCTTAAACCCCTGTACATTGTGGCAAGTCCGAGTTGTGACAGCGTAAACCCTAAATGATCTGGCATAGACCCTAATGTGCAGTTTCGGGTTTAGGACTTATGGTTTAATACCCGAGCCTGTGATTTTGGGGACCCCCCATCCCCCGCAGCCACTGGACATTGAAAGGATCAGTTCTGGCGCCGCTGCGTGGACATCCCAACAGCCTTGGTCTCTTCTGTGGGGGGTTTCTGAGAGCCTACCGTGATTTTTGGTTTTCGGGCTTGTAGCTTTTGCACAACGCCACTCAGCTCCCTGTGGAATGGCATGGCTGCATACGGCAGCCTGCAAAAGCAATTCGCACCACATCATCTTTCTGACCTAGAAGAGTTGCGGCAAGGACGACGGCGACAGGGCGAATAAAAAGCAGTTCACCTTTTGTTGTCTGCGGTGTTCCAGGGTTGTTTTAGACACCTTCAGCCCAACGCCCAAACGACCGCGAACCCTAACCGTTTCTCCCGGCAAAAAAAACAGTACTGTAGGGGCTTAAATAATTTTTGCTATTTGGGAGGTTCCTTCCTTCCTGTACTTATAGTATAACCCAAAACCCTATTCTAATTATGAAGGCCCTTATATTAGGCCCAAATCTCCAGGTTCTCAGCAAGCACACTCCAACAGGCTCCAGCCTTTGTGTCCTAGGTCCGAAAGCCGTGAAGCCGAAATCTGCTACAGCCCACCAACTTCGTTCTAATATTGGTTCCCAAACCCCATTCTAATTATTAAGGCCCCTTTATTATGCCTTCTGGAGGATTCCGTGCCAAGTATGATCTGAGTAACTTGTTGGACCAGCGTCGCGACAGACCTTTCCAGGCTTGTCCGAGTGTAAGCGTCAAATATCCCAACACCAACCCCGAGACACTAAATCTCGACACACTCCGAAGCGTCTTGCCACTAAATCATGACAGGCTCCATCACCCTACCCATAGGCCCCATAGTAGTTCCTTTTTGGGATTACCTTCTAGGATTCTAAATATGAACCCCCAAAAAGGAACTACTATGGGGCCTATGGGTAGGTGCAGTGTTTCAGGATCCTTATGAGGGTGCTGAGGCATATAGCCTTATACGTTTTATTTAGGTGGATGTAATCCGGGGAAGCCAGTTGCAAAAAAGGAGGTGTTCTGGGCAAAGTCTCTCTCAGGACCTGTGCCGACAGCTCAAACCCTAAACCCTTAGCCTTAAACCCTTAAGTCCCGGATCTCGCGAGGCGGACAAGGGACATTCAAAAAGAAACATCTAAACCCTAAACTTTTAAACCTAATCCGCCTAATCCTTCAGGGGTTTAGGGTTTACCCTAAACCCTAAACCCTAAACCCCCCTAAACCCTAAACCCTAAACCCTAAACCCTCTTTAGGGTTTCAACCCCTAAGTCTTCGGAACCTGAGCTCTCTTCGGACCTTCGGACCCGAGGCTTTGAAGCCCTCAACACCACGAAAACACGGAAGCACAAGCCCTGATGCAGGGGTCTAAACAGGGGTTTTCGAAAATTGGGGTCCCCTATATTGGGGTCCTTATAATAAGGATCCTACTACTTAGGGTACAATATTAGGGTCCCCTATTTTCGGAAACCCCCAAATAACTACCCATCCTATTTTGGGTGTTCCTTATTCTAAACAGAATGGGCCCCAAAACCCTCTTCTAATGTCTAAGACTAAGACCCCTACATTACCCTATAAACCTTAAGCCTAAAGAACAAACGCGAAACCTAGAACCCTAAAGCTTAGGCCCTAGGGCACCCATCCCATGGCGAGGCGGGCAGTTCAGACAACGAGGAGGAGGAGGCGAACGTCTGGGGATTTGGGGTGATAACCCTAAATCCCTACACCCTAAACCCTGAACCCTAAGCCCTGAACCCTAAGCCCGAAACCCCTAAACCCTGAACCCCAAACCCTATAGGTTCACTATAGGGGCTCGTAGAGCTTGGTGAGGGACTTGTATGGAGGGTTCTTATCGTTCATAAAGAGGGAGCTCCTCGGGACTTAGAAAGGAGTTCGTACGTACAGGTTTAGGGTTCAAGATGGAGTTCTCAAGGCTTTTGATTGGCATTTCACATAGGAATTCTCATGTGTTTGGGGCTTAAAGTATCTTGGTGATAGAAGCCAGAAGAACTGACATCCCCATGCAGCCCCTGCATGCCGATCACTGCCATGGTTCACGGGCCTTCGGGATCCCTCTGAATTCATTGCCTATACTTGGTGTTCTTCTGGTTGGCTCTTTAGACTTTAACTTTTTGTCTTTCTATATGAACCATAATAAGGAGACTAAAAGTTTAACTTTTTGGAGGGGTTCAGAAGTCAGCCAAGTATAATTCTGTGTACTCCGCCTTCCTCCTGAGACTCCCGGTGTTCTCGGGGAACCTACCTGGTGTAGGGCTTTGGGCTTTAGGGTTAAGGGGTGAGGTTTTTTTAGGTGCTTCTGTCGCTGTTGATATATGGGGTTTGTGGGGTTCACCTTGTGCTCAAACCCCTAAACCCTAAACTCTAGATGTGTGGATGCCTCAGGACTGTTTGTAAGGTTCGTTCGTCCAAACTATCAGAGCAGATCCAAACAACAATTGGGCCCTGAATTCGCCAGCAGTGTCTGGGGTGGAAAGAAGGTGGCTTTGGGGTTTAGGGTTTAGCGTCAATTATGGTATAGTTATAGTAAGGACCCCGAAGGAAGGGTACTGCTAATCATTTAGGCTTCTCCCCTGAACTATAAAGACCCTAAGCCCTAAACCCCTAAACCCTAAGCCCTAAGCCCTAAACCCTAAACCTCAATGTGGCCCTCGGTTGCCCATGCCCACAGCATGGCCGGAGGCCGAAATCGGCGTCAACAAAACTCCAACTACGAAGCTCGGCTTGACAACCCTTTAGGGTTTAGGGTTCAGGGCCCTAAACCCTAAGGGTTTAGGGTTCAGGGCCCTAAACCCTAAACCCTAGGCTAAAAATCGCATGGCAGCTAGGCTCCAACCAACTCTGGTCTCTTGGGCCGTTACAAACGATCTGCACACACGTGCATCTACATACAAAGAGCTTCAACTGACAAACACATTAAGAAGGCTGTATACATAGACAAAATCAGTCATTATATTTATATATTATATATGTATGTATATATGTATGTATGTATGTATGTATGTATGTATGTATGTAATGTAATGTAATGTAATGTAATGTAATGTAATGTAATGTAATGTAAGTATGTATGTATGTATGTATGTATGTATGTATG